TTTGCATGGACTACATGACACATTTCACGCTGATGTTCTGTATAAAATTTACTTCATGGGATTTTGAACTATGTGTGGACTTAAGATTTGTCTACATGCTCTGAATGTCGGGTTTGTGATTTTGTGCATATTATTCTTATCGTCTACATATTTGGGTACGTGCTTCATCATCGATTTTTTAGTTTGTCTTTACAAAAAAAAAAAAATAATACATACAACTGAAAATAAAAATAAAAGTTTTTGGACCTATTTTCGTTATTTTCCAAAATTGTGCTACTTTTCTTAAATTTCAAATGTTTGGTGCTATTTTTGACATTTCATTTTCGCTCGAGTCTCGCCTGGACTTCGCTCAAGCGACAAAAGCAGAAAAGATGTGCTCAAGTTTCGCCTAGGTCTCGCTCGAGCGACATATATATTTAAAATGCGGCTGTTTCAATTTTTCGCGCATTTCATCATTTTTTTTTCTCCTCTTTCAATTCTTTTCTTCTTCCATTAAAATTATTCACTCCCAATTCATTTTTGGCCTCAATTCGACATCTTTAACACAATCTTGGGTCTGAAACACTGACTTCTTGGCAAAATCTTTAGGTAATTCTCAACTTTCTTTGCTTTCAATTTTTTTTGGTTTGTTTGATTTCTTTTCTTGATCATTGTGTTGGTTTGTGTTATTTTGGCATTACATCTTGCTTGTACACATGTTTTGCATCAAGTATTGCTTTCCATTTCCCAAATTATAGTGCATTCCTATGGTTTTCTTTATATTTTTTTTAAGTTTTTGGTCCATGTTCATCAATGTAGTTCTTGCACCTCGTTGATTCGTTTGATGTGTGGTTTGTTTGATTGTGAAGTGCATAGCATGTAGTTTTTAGGGATGTGTTTGGATTTGTGATTGGGTCTCGTATGTGCTCGAAATTTGGTGCCGAAGTCACACACGCCACGTGTTCGATGAAAGTTTACTTTTATGCTTATTTGGTTTCTTTTGATTTTTTTTTCATTTCCTTCTTTTCCTTCGTTTCTTTCCTACTTGTTTGAGTGTCGTTACATGTCGTGTGTGTTTTCATTCATGTTTATGTGATTGGATCATATGTGTTTCCGTGTGTGCATCTTCTCATATCATGTTGCATCGTGATGCGTGCATTTCACATTATGCTTATTCTTTTCATCTCCACATGTGCCAGATGGCTCGTAAGCGCTCTCGTACCTCTGCACAGCCTGCTAGTGGATCGACATCTTATAGTAGATCCCGGTTTATTTCTGCTACAGCTCAGGAGATCTTCACGTCTCAGTTCTCCTTACGCCTCGTTCTCATGGAGCGTAAGGTAATTCTATCTGACCTTCCTGTTGACATCGCCGCTATTTTTGTTTCCCGGGGTTGGGAGCCCCTTCTTGTTGATCTTACACCGCCGCCTCCACTCCTTGTTCAAGAGTTTTATGCTAATATTCATGAGGTGGATGGGTCGTCGTTTAGGAGTTTTCTTAGAGGTCATTCTTTTCGAGTTACTCCGTCTGTAGTGGCCTTGTGTTAGGTATACCTCAGATCCCTCATCCGACGTATCCCTATCTTCTCCCTGCTTCTCTTCTGGCCGATGCCCTTGTTCGGTCGACTCTTTTGAACACCCCGTCTACTGGGAGGCCTACGGCTATGGCCACGGGTTCATTACCCACTGATCGACGGGTTTTGTTGCTCATCGTGTGCACAAAACGGTGGCTTGTTGCCCATACTTCTTCTTTACCGATGGTACGGGCTCGTTTTCTATATGCCCTACTTCATGGGAACTCTATCGACCTTCCTACTTTTGTGTGCCAGCAGATTCTAGCTTCCTTTCGTACTCCTGGGGGTCGTTTAGGATTACCTTATGCCTGTTTGATTCATCGAGTTGCCCTTTCTCTTGGTGCATCTTTCCCTGAGCAGTCTTCTACTCGTATAGGTCGCCCGATAGGATAGCAGACCATTCACCAGAGTCGATCCCATGTCCCGTCCTCTTCGGCTCATGCTGCCGCTCAGGTTGAGCACGTTGATGTTTTTTATTTTTTGGAGCCCTTTGATCCTATTACTGATATTCTTACTGGGGGTTCCCGTGTCTTTCTTCCGCCTCGTTCGGATTTTCCTTCAGCTGTTCCGCTTCGAGCTGCCTTTCCTTCGACATCTACTTCTGCTCCAGGGGTGGCTTTCTTGCCTGTTGACCCCATGGTGATGCTTATGGGTCAGATGTCTACTTTAGTCACGCAGCAGGCTCGTATGATGGCAGAGATCACGCAGTTACGTGCTGTTTCGGAGCATCAGTCTGCTGAGCTTTCTTCATTTCGGCATGCTCTATCAGTGTGTCAGCGTCAGTTGCGTTGGATTCGTGATCGATTGGATGAGAGCTCGAGTGACGAGCCTAGTGATGAGTCTCCGAGTGCGGGTGGTACTGCTTCTTAGTTTTAGTTTTAGTTTTTGATCCTTTGTCATTTGTGACAAAAAGGGGGAGTAGATAGTTTAATCTCAATTTAACTGTGATATATTGGATTAAATGTGATATAACTGTGGTTTGATATCTATTTAATGACTAGATTAAGTTTTGATGTTTTAACAATATTGATGTATGTTTTTGGTATTTTTTGACTTACATTACTATTGCTTCTTAATCTGGTTAATTGCATATGCACTATTCCTTGTTTTATCTACTGTTTCCATTTCACGTGCTTTTACACTTGGTATTGAATTTCTGTATTTCAGGAAATAGGTTCGACAGGAGATAGTTGCTTCGGTTGAATGAATAGGTCGTTAGGAGTTACATTTTTTTTGTGTCCTTGACTGTCTTGTGTAATTTTGTCACAGAATGTCAAAGGGGGAGTTTGTTAGGAAAATGTTGTAATTGGCAATCTGTGACCAAAAGGACTAATTTGTCGAGTTTGTAAAGTCAAGGACCAATTTGTAAATGTTTAAAAGTTCAGGGACTTGTGTTGCAAATTCGCAATAATTAATGTATAGGTCTAGGGTAAAGTTGGATGCTTTGAAGATGAAAACGGCGCAAGATTGGTGCTAGAGTTTTGCCCTGACCTCGCTCGAGCGAGAGTGCGTCGCTAGAGTTTCGCCGGCACTTCGCTGGAACGACAGTGTCATCCGACGTTTGGTAATTTTCCTTCCTAGCGAATTTTAAACGCTCCATACTATCAAAAACGACCTACTATATAAACAAAAATTCCGCTTTTCATTAACAACCTTTGGCAAAACACATAGCACAATATTTTCCTCTCTACTAAAGGATCAATTGCAAAACTCTTCACCATATGATTCATTGAAAAAAAAAACATCAAACACCTTTTCAAACAAAACACCTATAAAAAAATCCTCACTACTTCCAGAAGATCAGTTGATTGAAGATCCGGGAAGGAGGTTGATTGAAGAACTGGAGTTCTTGTTGATTCACGGGAAATAGAAGAAATATAAGGCTGGGATTTTGGCGCAGATCTGCAGAATCCAGGAGAGCTTTGGTTGATACAGTAAGGAGGTCAGAGTGTTGTTAGATACAGTCATGTCTGGCGTACTGTAAGTTGGAGTCTTCTATAGTGAATCCCTATTGGCTTGTGCCCGGAGTTTTTACCCAGTTGGGTTTTCTCCGTCAACAATTTTTGTGTTATTTATTGCTTTCTGTCAATTTCAATTCAACCGGCAATTCAACATAGGTAGTTAAATCATGTGAATGAATCTGGACAACGTTTAATTTATATGACTTGTTGCATAACTTAATTAAATTCTTGAATTCCGCATAGACACCTATTCACCCCCTCTCTAGGTGTTGGTTGGGTCGAACTATAGCCTTTTCAGTTTTTAATGAGGTAGTATTTATTTTTAGTATTCCAATATAACTGTACTCTTTTTCGTTTGATTTTTTTGTCCTATTGGGTTTTTTTTTTTTTAAAACATGGCTTTAACGAAACATATATTTTGTAACGTGTCATTCAGGGAGGAGTGTTGTAAAAGATAAGTTTATTAGGATTTAGATGTAAATGACAATTATACCTCTACACCCTAAGAATTATTACTGTTATATCTCTAATTCTGCCCTATAAATATAGGGTTTTGATTCTTAATTAAATACACACAAATCTATTGACTTCACTCTGTTATC